GGGGGGGGGGTGTGGGGGAAGGTACCAGCGGCGGAGCGCGGGGACGATGCTGGCCTCCCTGGCGTCCCGCCCGCCGCCGCCGGGTCTGGCGCGGCTCCTCCGGAGGCGGTCGTGGCCTTCACGGGTTGCTCACGGGTTTCCGGTAGTGGCTGAGGGAACCGGGACCGGTGGGCCGCGGTTGTTCCCGCCTTCGGCCGCCAGGGGGCGCCGCGAAACCACGCTGACGCCCAGCGCGAGGCTGTCATGGCGGGCCGCGGCCTGGGGGGGGCGACAGCGGGGCCCGGGGGAGAGACCCCCGGTAACGGGGCCGGGCCCGGGGGACACCCCCATAGATTTGGGGCCAGGCCCAAAGGGGAGCCCCACGGCGGAGGGACCGGGGCTGCAGATCCCAAGCCTGGCCCTGCTGCGGACCCCCAGGCCGAGCACCACCGGCCTGGCTGGAGCAGGCTGCCCTGTGCTGGGGCGGTCGGGCCTGGCGATGTCCCTTGGAGAGCCGGTGCTGTGGCCCTCGGGTGCTGAGCGGTGCTGTCGTCACGGAGGAGACCCCGGCGGGAGTCGGAGCGGAGGTGGGAGCTGCCCCCCAGGAGCTGCGGTGCCTGCCCTCGTCGCTGCGCTGGCGTACTGCTACATCAGGGACCACCTGTCCAAGGGTGACTATCGCCGCTTCGCCGGCCCCAGGGTGGGAGAGGGCTTGATGCGGAGCAGAGGAGCTTGTGCCCCTCAGGGAGGGGGGCGTGGGGGTCCCTCCTTGGAGATGGAGCCTGCCTGCTGGCGCTGGCCTGGGAAACCCTCCAGGGGAAGTGTTGTCCTTGATCCCTAGCCCAGAGGCATGCTGGTCTGTGACAGATACCCAAGCTCTTCTGTAGTGTGAAGATAATGATCCGCACGCTTGCCACCAAGATAGAATAGCCAGCGCTCTTGTTGGCTGCACCCTAGCCCGTCTCTGCGGACGGTTTTGTGATGTGTGTTGGGAAAGGACCTGGCTCCAAGACCCCGTGGGTGACAAGGCTGGCAGGGGAGGGTTTGAACTGTCAGGGTGCATGATCTCCACAGGGCCGGCTGTCCCCAGTGCTCTGCTTTGAACGTAGGATATTTTGGGCAAGTACAAAGGTTCTGGAGTTGGGAAGGGATTGAGTTACTACCCTGATAAGCCCAAGGTTTCTCACAGAGTGGCTTATGTCCACCCCGCTGTGGGAAATAAGCAGTTGGTGGGTGGCCACAAGCCCTTGTTGCCCCAGCATTAGCTTTGGATCTAGGAACGCTGACGTGTGTCTGAGCTGAAGCGCACAGGATAGTCCTAGTGATCTGTTGGGGCAAGTTGCATGCTTCTAGGTTGATGCATAACTGTAGGTTTGCGCCACAGCAAGTCCCATTCTCGGCACTCATGCAGCGTTTTGTGTTTGGGAGTATTTGGGGTGCAGTCCTACGCTTGGTCTCTCTGCCCCAGGTTGTTGTCACCCCCTTTCCGGCTGCAGGACAGGAGATGGAGTGGCCTCGTTGGTATTACTGGTCAAGGTGGTGGTGGAGCAGAGACATCTTTGCTGCTCTTGCTGTGTGCCAGGCACACAGGGCATCAACCTTCAGACCTTCAGCTGAGCAAGGTCAGGATCCAGGGTCGGTACAAGCTCCAGAAGAGATGGTGTGTGCACAAGGGGGGCCTTTGCTGCGGTCCCTTTGTCATGAACCAGCGCTCACTGCTCACAGGCTTGGGCTTGTGGGCAGTGAGCTCATCCGCTGGTGTGACAGAGGCCTGGGGCAGGGGGGGCTGTGACTTCAGAGCAGGACGCTTTACTCAGTGGTTTCAGGCACGTCAGAGGTTGGTTTCCCTGTGAGTAATGTGCCAACTGCTGCGCTGGGCTGCTGGGTTGGTTACCCAGGAGGTTTCACCATCATTATAGAGAGTCTTGTGTAATTAGTGCTTAGGAAAGGTCTGCGAGACCAAGGTCTGGCTTTGTTGCAGGAGCCGGTTTGTGGACTGGTTAGTGTTTAGAGCCAGGAAGCCACGTGGCTTTGACTGTGGGCAGAGGGGACAGAGCCATGAGTGCCCCAAACCCTGCAGCCAGGGAGGCGGGGAGAGTGCGGGAAGCAAGCAGGCGAGACGCTTTCCCGGAGAGGGCAGGGATGCAGGGACACGGTTGCAGAAGGTCAGGGCCAGAGAGCTCAAGGGTCCCTGCAGAGCTTGCTGAGCCAGGCCACCTGTTGGAGAGCTTTCCCCTCACTCTTGCTTTGTGGGTGGGTTTGGGAAAGCCCCATGTTGTTTTTTACTAGGTATTGCGTGCAGCTCTGGTATCCTCAGCACAGGAGAGACATGGACCTGTTGGAGTGAATCCAGAGGGAGGAGGCCACAAAAATGATCAGACGGCTGGAACACCTCTGCTGTGAGGAAAGTCTGAGAGAGTTGGGGTTGTTCAGCCTGGAGAAGAGAGGGCACCGGGGAGACCTTATAGCAGCCTTCCAGTACTTAAAGGGGGCTTATAAGAAAGATGGGGACAGGCTTTTTAGTAGGGCCTGTAGTGATAGGACAAGGGATAATTGTTTTAAACTAAAAGAGGGCAGATTCAGACTAGATATAAGGAAGAAATGTTTTATGCTGAGGGTGGTGAAACACTGGCCCAGGTTGCCCAGAGAGGTGGTCAGTGCCCCATCCCTGGACACATTCAAGGCCAGGTTGGACGGGGCTCTGAGCACCTTGATCTGGTTGAAGATGGCAGGGGGTTTGGACTAGATGACCTTGAGAGGTTCCTTCCAACCCAAACTGTTCTGTGATTCTATGACTGGGAGGAGGACACTGTGCTGGGCCGAAGTCCAGGTTGCAGTGGCTGAACGCTCAGTAACTCAGACACCAAAGGTTGTTTGGCCCCAGCTGCCTGGAGTTTAACCCGTGTCTTGGGCAGGCCTGAGTGCTCCATGCTACCGGTGCTCTGCTGTGGTATCCAGGCCAGCAAGCAGCCATCATCACCCCAGGGCAGGGGGGACACATAAACACACCCGCTGCTCCCCTCTGACATGCTCAGCCTGGTGAATTGTCCTTGAGACAGCACACTGCCCAGGTAAACCCCCAGTGCCCACTGATCTTGGCCTTCCTAATAACGCCACAAGCAATTTGTGCTCGAAAGCTCTTCGTTTGGATGCACTGATGACAGCCAAAATAGCTCCCTGCAGCACGCTGACTGCCGTTACTTTCAGGGCAGCAGAGGAAACATTGAGGTTTGTGGTGCAGCTCGAACCTCTGCAGAAAGCTGGCTGCTGGGCTGAACTGTAATTGTTGCCTCTGTCCATTTGTGGCTGTATGTTCTCTCAGGAGAGAGGGACCCTCACCCCAGGACCAGGGGATGGGGTGTGGAGGACAGAGCCCTGTCTGCTGGGGCTGCTCTCTAGGAAGGCAGGTTGACAATGCAAGGCAGAAGACTGAGCCACAGGCCCAAATGACTTGGAGAAGGGAAAGGAGGCAGAAAATGTTGGGGAGAGAGCAGGAAGCACCTGAAGGCTGGTAAGAATTGGGGAGAATTGTCCCAGCTTCCCAAATACCCCGGTGCAGCTGTGCTGGCTGCACTGTTTTTGAACAAGTCCTGCTCCAGCAGCTCTGTGCATCTCTGAGTCAGAGCTGGCGTGCTGTCCTTACCCCCTCTAGCCAGGAGATGTCATTCTGAGCCTGCAGTAGGAACTCACTGGCCTTGCTGTGATGTCTGGAAACCTCTGGCTGACGCAGTGCCTGCCTGGGCTGACAGTGCCAGCTGCCCCATAATGCCTGCGGCAGCTTGGAGCCCACCATTTCTGGGGTTTGCTTTGCAAACACAGGAGAAGTCTTTGTTTCTCCAGTTGTTGATGCAGTTGGTTCCTTGCTGGAGCCGCTGCTGGCTTGCCCTCAGCCCCGGGTGGCCGAGCAGGACCTTTCCCCTCTGCTCCAGCCTTTTGCTGGGCCCATCCCATGGCACCTTCCAAGCCAGAGACTGGCAGTGCCCACAGTCGTGAGCTGAGGTAGTTTCCTGCAGACATGGGTGATCTCTGGCAGGCTGGGAGAGGCTGGTCACCCAGGGAGGAGCAATGTGCATCCCTGGCTGCGTCTGCTGAGGTGCTGCCCGGGGGATCTCTTGTGTTATGATGCGGCATGTGGGGAGCTGCTGTTTCAGCTGGCTGAACATCCGCATTTGGGCTAGGAGAGGTGAGGAAGGGACTTGTACAGCCAGGCCAGGGATTCAGCTTGCACACAGGTTCCCATGTGTCTGCTTGTGACTGCCTTTTGAGAACTGCTGTTCAGTCCTGCCTTCCCCAGAGCCTAGCACTGGGGCTTGCAGGGAGGCTGTGGGAAGTCAGCAAGCAAGGGATTTTGGAGTGACCTGCTCGCAGAAATAGATCCTTCCTAACCTGTGGTGTTTGATAAGAGCTGTAAGCACAGGCCCTGCCTTCTCTGCTGCAGTGGCCTGTGCCACCTCCAGGTTATGTGTGTGTGTTTCACTGCTAACTCACTTTCCCATCTTTTTCTGCTTTCAGAAGATGCTCTGCTGGAAGCTGCGAGGATCAACAACGTTTCAGAAGTCAACAGGTGAGCAGGCTTTACAGAGGTATGAGAGAACAGCACTGCCAAGGGGGTGGGAAGGCAGGAAAGCTCTGTCAGCACTTGGCGAAGGGGTGGGCTCATCCTCGTTGCTCGCTGTGACTCGGCACTTGTTCATGTGTGGGTAGGCATCCCAAGGCAGAGCTCCTGGGATAGAGCAGCGAGGACTGGCTGCTTCCAGAGCCTTTGGGGTGTTCACCTTGCCGTCTTGGATCCTGAGTGGGTCAGAAGGGATGGTGAGCGCAGTTACCTGTGAAGTGGAAGGTGGATCACAGATCCCTGTGCTGGGAGAGGACAAAGCGTGAGGCCGTGCAGTGCAGCGTGGTGCGGATGTACCCCTCCAGGCCAGAAGCCGCAGAGCCTCGTTTGTGGGGGTCTGTCTGTGAACGAGCAACCCTTGTGGGCTCCTCAGCCAGAGCCAGCAGCTCTCCAGCCCACACAGGGGCTTGTGTCCCACAAGGAGCACAGGAGAGAGTTCAGGTCTGCCTGTGCTGCCCAAGCTGACCTGTCAGGGAAGTGACTGGTTGGGTGGCCAAGCACGTGCCTGTTGGGGAGTCGAGCTGTCCGTGTGCTCCTGTCCCACAGGCAATGGGCCTGCAGCGCTCTTGTTGCCATTGGCCTCGCCTGCCTCTGTTGGGGTTGCGCCATGGCATCATTGGGGAGCTCGTCTAGCAGTGTTAAATTTCCTGGGGTGTTAATGAATGAGTGCGTTTCTCAGGCCCAACTTGTGACCAGACCCTGAGAGGCGTGTTTGCTCTCTGCCCACCAAATCCTCCTGCAGCTGTAGCTCTGGGGAGGGACGTGGATTGGCTCAAGTGGTTCCCAGGATGGTTTGTGAGCAGCAGTGCTGCATTAACGAAATATGTCTGCTGGCAGGCCAGCACTGACCTCATCTGCAGCGAGTGCCAGGGACTCAGTCTGGAGCCGTGTGGGGGAAACAAATGTCCTGAAAACGCAGGGTGAAGAGAAGTGTCTGAGAACCAGGCAGAGCTGCTTGTCCAGCAGAGCTTGGCCATCCTGCCTGCTCTCTCTCAGTAACCCAGTGGTGATGAGGTCTCCCATGCCCCACGTGCCACCCTCAACCAGTACAGAATTAAGATTTTTATTTTTTTTTTTGGTAGCCTGGCAGCTTGCATAGGACAGGAGCGGACATTGCTGCTCTCCTGTGTTCACCACACCTGATGTTTCTCTTTGGCTGAGATCTCCCACCCAGTGCAGGCATCCAGGGAGCTCGGTGCTGCCAACTGCTGTCCTTGCGTCCTTCTGCGGCAGGGGAGGAGAGCCCTCCTGGCCTGCAGCCAGGGGATGCTCCTTCCAGTCTCCGGGATCTCAAGAGGAAGCAGCCTGACTATGCTGCACCCCGGGGCTGAGATCTGGCCTAGATCAAGGACTGAAGAGGATATTAGCATGCAGCTAATTGGCACATGTGTTCTGCTGTTTGTAATTGCAGGAAACTGCTGCTTAGGGATGTCTGGGTGATTTGTGAGCCTGGTCAGGCAGAGCAGTGAGAGGGATGCTCTGTGCTCCCCCTGATTAGGGAAGGGCTGGTGGCTGTACACAGTCCAGCTGTGCTGCACATCCACGGCCTCTCCCTTTGTTTCTGTGCTCTTCCAGTCCCGCTCCCTGGGAAGCTGCCTTCCCCCTGCAGCACCCCCTGTGTTTGGAGCTCCCTGCCTACCTGTGCCTGGCACATGCCTTTGCTGCCGGGCATGGGCAGGGGACTGTGAAAACTACTGACTCTCTCCCTGCTGCAGGCAGCTTCGGCCTCTGCTTTACAACAAGCTTCCACAGCCCAGGAACCCCACGGCTGCTGCAGAGCTGAGAGAGGAGGCAGGAACAGGGCTCTTGCTCTTGCCACCTGCAAGGGGTGAAGCCCAAATTCAGTCTTAGCAGGGCAGGAGTCTGACATTCAGCTGAGCAGTGTGGGCTGCACCCGGGAGAGGGCAGTGCCGTCCACGTAACACTGTTGGTGACTCATCCTCCCCTACCCGGACAGTGCTGTCCCCTGCCTGCTCTCCCCTCTGATCCACACAGCTTGCTGGTGGTGAGTTAGGAGAGGTGAGGCTGGTGTGATAGAGTTTTCTAATACAGCTTTAGACTCATTTAAACTCTCTCCCATGGCCTAGTGTCTTGGTATAATAACTTAAAGGCAGTGAAAAGCTAGTGGTGCGATAGGGCTGGACTCCTGCACGCTGTCTTGCTCGGGCTTCACAGAGCGATGCAAGACACATGTTCTCTGCTGTTCAGCAACCTGTCTCGTTAGGCCGTGCCAGGAAAGCTGAGCAGAGACATGTTGCTGCTCGTGTTGTGGAGCAGTTGCTGATGTTGTTCAGTTCTCCAGCCTTTTGGCTCAAAGACTATTAGAAGAAGCAACCAGATGTTTATAATTCTCCAGACCACGTCCTCTGCTACACGTTCTCTTCATCTGCTGCTGGGGACTTATTTTCCCTTGCTGTGCAAACTGGGGAGCTGGCCTTTTTCAAGTGCCTTGTTCAGCTGATGGCTCGTTGTGGCCCTTTACACATTAAAGCATTGTAATACAATGACTAGGAAATGCAGCCTTTTGGTCTGAAGTGTAGAAAATGGACGTGTGAGAGAAGGTGGTGTGAGGTGCAAAGAAGATAATTTTGAAACCATGAGTTAAGTCATAGTTGTGCTTAACTGCAGCGGGAAAACAGGGTAGAGAGAGGCTCCAAGGCAGTTTGGAGCAGAGGCTGTGCTATAAGCAAAAAACCGAAGAGCTTTTAGGATAACTGCGTCCCTTATCCCAAAAGAGTTGTGTGTTCTCTCTTGGAAGAGAGTGCCTCCATCACCCTAACAGCCACCTGTAGGATGATGGAGTCAAGGCTATCATCCTTGTGGAAAATCCCCATAGAGGATTTGAATGCCAGCAGGGATAACTGGTATCTGTTTCCTAAAATGAATGATAGTCAAAGAACAGGAGGTGTAGAGGCCCTGGCGTGTGTGTCCATAACCTGCTGCCTGTTTTGAGGCTGTGTTCCTGAAAAGTGTGATGATGACCTGGTGCAATGAAGAGTGAAGCAATTTTTCCTGTAGGAATTACTGTAAGGAGGGATTTTATGTGGGGACTTCAGAAATACACCTTAAATACACAGGAACAGGGTGCATGATGTGAAAGATGGAGGGGCAGGAGCAGTAGCATCAGAATCATCAAACAGAGAAGATGCTGGCTTTTTGGAGTCTGGCTCTTCAGAGCAGGTCACCCTTCCAGAATACCTCAGCCTCCCCATCGTCAAGTGTAAATCTTCCAGTGCGGGTCTTCTCACTGCTTCTTTCTGAGTATTTACATCTCATCATCATATTCCTCAAATTAAAGTCAATCACATCAGTTGAGTAGGAAGGTCAGAAGATGGGGTAGTGGCAATGGTTAGAGGAGCACGACATCAGGCAGCTACAGAACTCCTAAACGATATACGGAGAAGTGACAGATAGCAGGGTGCTGCTGTATAAGTGCTTCCACGTGTGTAAGGAAGTGGATGACACTACTCAGATTATGCTGTAATAAAGAGCTCACGTTTCACGAAGCTGCAGGCAAACACGCTGCTTTGTTCCAGCCGTCAGGATGTGAATGGAGTCAGAAAATAAGTGTTACAGTTATACAAAATTAAAAGCATTTGATCTTGGAAGCCAAGCTGTCCTATGCCTGTCCAGATCTTCTATCTGGGAACCCAAGCACAGGCAAAGGTGAAAATTGGGCCGAAGGGACTGAAAGGAGGGTTTGTGTCAGGGGCACTTGGGCAGCACGTGAATTTGCCTTGGGCTGGTTAGCAGCTGTGCTTCTGCACTAGCATCTCTCTGATTTTGGGCTAGGATACTTACACAGGCCAGCCAAGCTCTACTCACAAACAGCCTACAGAGCACCTTACTCTGAAAGGCTTTCTCTGGGTCCTTTTTTGCTGCTAGATAGGGAAAGTGATGAGACATAATGAGTGTTAATTCAGCTGGTAACTGGAAATTTCTCAGTTGGGCTTGGAAAGACTAAGGTTGTGAATACTGGAAATGAATGGGAGGCTTTTGTTCAGGGGAATTTCGCGTTATTCTGACCAGCAACTTTTTCCTTGGTTAAGGATGAACAGGCCTTTCAAACAGACCAGGCAGACCTCACATTAACACACACGTTAGTATTGCTGCAGGAAGGATCGCATGTCTAAAGCTTGGATCCAGCCCCTGAGCCGTAGGCTCTCCTCTTCCCTGTCTCCTCTTAGCTCCCAGACAGGTTTTCTCATCTTTACCTGCTTGTTAAATGCAAGAAACCAGGCTGAAATCTTGATCGAGATCAAGGAACATGTTAACTTCTGAGACCATTCCTTTTGGGAGTGTGTGGCAAACCTTCAAGCTATTCCCTTCAAGCCCTTCATGCTGTTAGGCAGTACAGAAGATAACACGTAATTAATGTGGATAGTTTAATTTCCCTCAACCTCAGTTGTTCCACGCATTTGGAGGGAAAGCAAGAAGCAAAGCCATAAAGAATTACTGCCTCAATCCCCCTTGTGTTTATATTCAGTATTTATATTGATTCTCTGTGTTCCAGCTTTGTTTCTTAATAAGCCACCCACAAAAGCGCAGGCTTACAGCGGAGTTTCCTTGCCAGATAAATATGATGGAACAGTATTCTCATAAGCACTGTACGACTGTGACTCATGGAAACACGGTGCATATGTCAGTTGGCTGTTATCAGGCTCATTCACAACAGCAGGCAGCAACCCAAATCTGCATGTTAATGAGATGTGGAGATGACCAGGCGCTCTCCTGCTCTCGGAGGGATCCAGCCAGACATGGTGCTGGGGCAGGAAGCTCCGTGTCAGCTCCTGCAGCTGGTTTTGCTCTCTCCAGGCTGATTTTTAGGTGGAGGGTTGCAGAAACAGCTAAGTCAAGCTTGATTGCCCCAAATGGTGATCTCTCCCTTTTGGTCAAACAGCCGAGAATCACTCATCTTATTGTCTCTGACTCATCATTGCACTGCCTCC